TTCTCCTCCTGTCACGCATGGTTTTTTTACTGATTTCAGCATTAACTTTTTTGGATACTTCCTGTCACTGGAAGACCTCTCCCTCTCCCTCCCCACAAGAACAGCATACGTTTTCAATTTAGATTATGTTCCCAGCAGATGTTGCAGGACGTGAAGGCCTTGCTTTCTCTTTCATTAAAAAGGCACTTGTAATACATTTTATTGTCTTGGATGGAAAAAATCATGTATTGCAATGTTCAGAAATCAGTCAATGTGATTTCATAATTTCTACCTTAAAAAAATAATAATTGGTTAACAGAAAATAATAAAAAACAAAGTCCATGTCCATTATATCCCTGAAGAGCATTTGTAAGTATCCCTCCAAAGGGTGCTAAAGGAGGAAATGTTTACTGTCTCAGGAAGAACTCTCCAACTCTAATGCCCAGTCACCCCAAGAAACACTTCTTGTTACCCTCATAATATTTTGCATGAAAATTCAGTGTACACATCAATGCTTTTGCTTCACCACATGGAGCTCCTGGCTATCCTGTGTGCACATGGCTTTACCTGAAGTTAGACCTGCTAACAGAAACCCTTCTGTTCTCAAGACACGACCCTAACATCCCATGTGGAACCTGAGGTCTGGGTTAGAGCGTAACATCCCTATACACCAGCGGGGTGTTTGCTGATGGCCAGTGGACTAGCCAGGGCCACATCACCCATGTCCTCCTTGCAGCAGCAGGACTGGCTTGAAGTGGATCAGAGCACCCAAAACCTCAGTGCTTTGAACTTACCTAAGAAAGATGGACCAGAATCAGTGAGCTCCTGTTTCGTTCATGGTCACCCAAGGGTAAGGCTTGAAAGAAAAAGAATAAGACAGGCCAAGAAAATCTAATCAGAAACTCCATATACCAGAAAATGGTATGCTACAGTCACCAAAGATTCCCTTTAAAAATCTTTAAGCATATGCACACTAGGAAATTGCTGTTGGTAGTCTGTAGGATGCTCAGCATCACAGAACCATTTGTTATCATCTGGTTTCACAAATACCTACTGCTAAACATATATTTATTTGTGTGTGTATGCATCTGTGTGTGTATACTTTACATACACTTATATTTACTTATTCCATCCTTTGTGTCAAAACTAGGAACAAAATGAGGTTATAACCTACGGCAAAACATGCACAAACATAATGCAGAATCACCAGAGCTGCCAAAAAATCCCCGCTGTAGAGAGAAGATTAAGTCTAACAAAATGGACAGCAAACCGCAAGTTTCATACAGAAAGCTTGTTTCCAATACAGTTAGATTTTATCATTCCATTGTTTCTTCCTGTATTATGGAAGCAATTGTTTTTCACTAAAGCGTAGGTATGTCAGAGCCAGAAGCAATGGTCCATCTAAATCTACATTTGTGACAGTAAGTAATACAGACAAATTGATATCTCAGCATCTATTCCCAACAACATAAATCCAGCCAGTGGCTATCTCTCAGGTTTCCTCATTTTCCATAAATTTGTCTATCTTCCCTTGAGCTGATATGTACCGCTTTTTATTGCTGACTTTGGAAATTGCTCGGTAATTTAAAAATTCTTTGTGTAACAGAAATTCAGCTTGAATTACAACTGAGGCTGGTTGTTTCCATCTGGTGTATTGGGTTTCCTGATTACACACACCAACTTTCAAATTATACCTTTCTGTAGGCACTGCAGAAAGCACTGACTGCTTTGGGTGGCTGGTGGAACCCCAGGACCAGCAAAGAGAGACTGGAGACAATTTTTCACTGGGCTCACCTCCTCCTGGCCATGGGCAGCTGAGCGTGGGTGCTGGTGGTGGGTCAGTGCAGGCTGGGTCCTGCCTTCCTGGCTGCTCATGGGTCCCAGCAACCATCCTCCTCATCTCCAAAGCCCCCAGAATCACTCCCCAGATGTTTGCCTCCCTGTACATTGATATTTTTTTTTTCCAACCTAGGAGTTTTCTAGGCAAGGGAAATGCAGCAGGGAAACAAACTGATCTCTGGTCAGCCAAGAAATGGTCTCCTTTTGACTGGGCACTTGCCACCTCAGCTGGGGAGTGTACCTTCTGGGCCAGCATCCATGCCCCATGGGGCACACAGGCTTCACAAGCCAGAGGGGTTGCAGTGCCCAGACGATTGCAACTGCAGGGATGTCCCAGCAAAATAACTTCTTACCATTATTTTCCAGTTGACCAAGAAGTAGATGTTTCCTTGAATCCTGGGGAAGTCCTGGCTCTCAGCTGGTAGCACCACCAAGCTCTGGGGCCATGCAGGCACCAGGGGCCAGCAGCATCCTCATGGAGTGGGGAGCATTTGGGATTTCAGCCAAGGGGGCTCCAGGCCCAGCAGCCCTCAGCTTGGCCTTGCTTTCCTTCCTGCAAATAACCTGTTTTGGTTTACTTTATCTTTGTAATTAATCACAGCAAGCCTGAAAATCCTCCCAGCAGTGTAATGAGCTCCCTCCACACCACAGCCAGTGCCTGGCCGTGACAATCACATACGACAAGCTGTGTCCCACTGGTACTCGAGAGAGGTATCCTTCCCTCACACTGCCCCAGGGGTCTGCCTGCACATGGAGGGACACCATCCTGAAGGAGGGGGGCAAGTGGGCTTCTCCCACCCACGTGGCACTGGAGGACATGGGAGACCAAACCCAAACTCGGTGCCGCAGGAGCAGCCCTAGCCCTTTGGCGCTGGCACACCACAGACCCACAAGCACCTCAGGCTTGGGGAGCAGAGCTAGGGTGTGCTAATGCAAAGGGGGATAAGATTAAAGTAATCTGCATCAGAAATATTGTTTACAAATTTCAGCCGCTAATAAATGATCAATGTGCAGACTAAAATATTCCTACTCTAAGCATTTTTTTTAAGATCGAAATTTTTTCTTCCTCTGCAAATGCCACCCAGCCATTTGTAGCCCACGAATTAGCATTTTCTGATATTTCTCTACACCTTCTCAGGCTGCCTGTTACCGTACTCTGTCTTTTCTTCCACACCCCTCACACTTTTCGGCACTCAAATATCAAAATAACTATTCTTGCTACACACGGGCTTGCCTCTGCATGAAGCAATTGGCCAGGTGCATTATGCATGTTTTTTGCCAAAACACCCAGCCCTTGGCCCCTCTGCCACTGCCAGCCAGGGCAGCATCAGCCCCACGGGCCAGCACGGAGGAACCATGTGTGGGGGGCAGGAGCAGCCTTAGGCCAGCACGAGGAGGTGGCCTCACAGACAGCCACCCCTCCTTCTCCAGGCCTGGGGAAGAACCTGTAGGAGGGTGACCCAGTGCAGGGACAGTGAGAAGGCAAGAGGTTATCTTGAGGATACGGCGGCTCCGCGTGGGCAGAACATCTGAACTGAGCATATAAACATCCCACGCTTCCCAGCATGGCTTTAAATTAAAATAAACCCGTTCTGTAACACCGCCAGAGAATGGCTGACTGAGAAATTTACAGTCCAAAGGATCCAGGAATTCGCTCTCTATTACTCTGCGAACATTCATTAAAAATATAAAAATGAAATTAAAATGGCCATATTAGGAAGATTTGATGCCCTTTGTGGACACATATCTTTTATTTTCAGGACAAAGTTGCTTTTCTTCCAAGAAGTCTGATGAATTTTGAGATGGGAACTTGTTAAAATCATCCACAATGGTATTGTATAGCACGGCTTTTGCTCGCTGTTAAGTGATATTCTGGAGTTCCTCCGTTACCTCCAGAGGCTGAGTTAACTGGCCTGGGTTAAGCCAAAAAGCCAAAAATAGAAATAGCAAACCACAGAATATTGTAACAGATATTCAAAATTATAAATCTGTAATCAGCAAAGCAGAGAAGCTCTGTTAACATCTTCTTCACGTAAAACAACTATTTGTTGAGGCATTCAAATAAAAAGAGTTAATGAGACCGTTTTAAAAAATAGATTTTGCAAGCCCAAGAGTTTTGGATTACTTGCATAAATATCCAGATTGCTGAAAGCTGGGCTGCTTTTGACATCTCTATGCTGTGTGTTTACATCCCTATGAGCTGCATGGGTCCTGCCTGGGAAGAGGGAGCCTTTCTGAGGGACCAGTCACGCAGTCTTTTAGGGACTAACAACGAACATACAGTAACTATGAAATAATTAACCTATAGATCAATCTCTTCTTGCAAGAGTATGACCAGGCAAGCTGGCAAACTCAGAAACGTGTGTATGGTCCACAAAAGATAAATATGTCCTTCTGTGTGACATATACTTGACAAATACTCATTATGTCTGAAAAAAATTACTTTTTAGATGTTTCCATATGAATCCAAAAGCTTACCTCCCATTTTTAAGTTTGGTGCCATGCTTACGTTCACCCTGAGAATCACACAGCGTCTAACACCACCACAGCCTTGGCAGAAAAATCCTCGTTGATACTTGTATAACTGTAAAATCCACTCATGCTGAGTGAATTAATTACTTACTAAGCTGGCAGTTTTAAAGATAGAGAAAGATAAAACCGACAAAAAAACCAAACATAAAAATCCAAATACAATCACAATGTCTGTTGAAATGTTAAAATAAAAATGGGATAATGTTTGCAGTGTTGAACCTTGGCTCTTGGATGAGTTTCTTAGTATCAGATTTCAAAACACATCAGCACCTACAGATTCATACAGGTTTCTTGCAATGCTTTTCAACAGGCATAGCAGCCAGCCCCAATAGTTTAAAACCTCTCAGACCAACTCTGGAAACTATTTAGCACCTGAATCCCATCTATTTCCACATAAATGTCTCAGTTCCTTAATCATAATTTGGAAAACTCTGCTTCTCTGCCTCTCAGGAATTATTTAATAAACTCTACATGAGGCTTCTGAAGTCCTTTAGCTATGATGGCAAGGGGAGAGTCCAGAGATATCCTGGACAGAACAAAGTGAAATGAGGAATTAAGTGAGAGAGATCGGCAGTGACAAGATGAGCTTTGCTTTGGCTCCTGGAGATAGACAGACAGATAGATAGACAGACAGACGGCGTGTAAACATGCTACTAAAAGCCTCAAATTACAATCCATAATTTGTAAAACCCAGCTAACAGTGTTTTCAGTGTGCATACTGAAACAGACTTGAAATTATTCCTACCTCATAACACTGAAATTTTCCTTAGTGCCATTTATGAGATATCAAATTATTTCCATCGTATGCTGGAACAGATAAATAGCAAAACTCAGAAATTCATACCAGAAGTTACATTTATGGAAATACTGTCTAAATTTTGGAGAAAACACTTTGTACCAGGTCATCAGTTCAAGACAGATGGCCTCATAAACCTCTCAGCAATGTATAAAACCTAAGGTTATATTTGACGGGTTCCAGGAACCACATTTCACACAGATGACTGAGCGGTTCAGCAGAGAAGCAGAGGCCATTTACTGCCTGGCGGTGGGATGTGAGCTGAAGGCACCCATCACCTGCACACGACGCAGGGCGAGACAGAAAGGGAGAGTGACAAAGAGCTGCTGTCCCCACCTCTGTGCCACGCCGCCGATGGGGAGCTGCAGATCTGCTAACTCCTAGACTTCCTAAATAATTTTTCTGCCATTTTCTCATCAACAGGGACTGAGTGGTGATGCCAGAACAAAAGCCCAGGGAAGCAGCAGACTTCAAGGCATGCCACGCATCAGAGCCTGAATTTATATACCCAGCCCGGTCTGGCTATTCAAACATTCGTAGGCATCCCTTCTCCGTTATTAACATACACTTAAGAACATCAGATTTCACATGGCCTATACTCATTTACTGGCATTTTACAAGGGAACCTTGTTTACTTAAGTTGAGACATCTAGAGCTAAAATATTGACTCATATCTAAGAGATAGATGAGCTACGGAATGTTAAAAGTTTATCAGCCTTTCCCAGCTTCAGACTATTTTGGACATATCAGTAAACAAGCTATCACCCCCAATGCCTTCACTCATAAAAATGTAGCAGAAAGCATAGAGGCATAGTATAAATAAATATGGCAACCATATGGTATGTCACATTTACCACCGGAAAGCAGGCACACGCGTTCTGTCATCTGTCCGGTTCAGAAACCTCTCAATTATTTAACAATACCTGGTGTGCCCTGACTACACATAAAAATTAAGCTCGCACTGTGAGACATCACTCTAAGTTTCAAAAAGAAAGCAAACATAGATGTGAGAGGGAAAGAGAGAGATCATTCCACATGAGAACAAATTGCCACAAACAGGGCCACAAGGGGGACACTGTAATTTGGGACTGAGAAGTGCGTGAGGGTTTTGCTAATATTTTACTCATCCAAGAGATTCCACTGCTTCAATGGAGAGAAAAATACGTAGCTGTAACTCACAACTTGTCTACTAATTTGTTTAGAAATTTCCTAGTGTTGCTCTGTTCCAGTGGATCAGCTGCCACTGGAAAGCATTAAGGATGCTACTGTTTTCTTCTTTAAATAAACATAAAACCAGTATGTACACCTGTCCTATTGGTACCGCTCAACCTCTTTTTTTCCTTTTTTTTTTAAATATATACTACTTGAATCCAGCAATCTTTCTAACAAGATCTCCATTTTGCAACAGAATAATTCTTGGAAGTAACTCTTTTTGCTGAAAATGTTTCTCAGCATGCAGGTACAGCCTCACCATTATTAAGTCACAGGTGGGACAGGAGGAACTGCCGATTATTGATTTCACTTCTATTCCCTGCCTTTAGACACAACTGCCCAGCCTGAAATCTCCTATGTTACAAATCCAGCTGAGGTTCAATTACTCAAAAAATGCCTAGAAAACCTCCGAAACCTCTGAAAAAGTACAGTTTGTGGATGGTGAGGGATGCTCTGCCCCATTTTCACCTTGCACTTGCCCAGTGATGCTGCCTGCGCCGGGCTGGTCTCCAGGAGCCTGGTCTCCTCTGCACTTGTGGTGCTTCTTGCTAGACTCGGGTGCTGAGAAGGGGAAATCCATCTGGCTTGAGAGCAGAGGGACACAGCTGGGAAGGGGAAGTCCAGGAGGAAATATTTCTGGACAAGTAGCCTGTGGGAAGAGGGTGGCAGGGAAGTAAAGCCAGGAAATTATGCACAGAAATCTCTGTTCAGAACATGTTACTAAGGTTTCCCAAAAAAATACTGCTGAGGAAATCCAGAATTAAAATCATCCACGCTATTTAAATTTAGCCCCTGCAAGTAAATCTTCCAGGGAAGGAATGGCCCTGAATGCCATTACCACCCAGTGCGCTTTCCTCTCTCAACACGCAGCACACCTGGCACTACCTAATGAGCAGTGACAGCAAAATGTCTTGATCTTCACTGTCTACAGCATCACCAGGCTTCTGCACCCGAGTGAGGAGAAGCGAGCGGAGGTCTGAGCAGGCTGACAGAGCTCTCTGGGAATGGGAACAGGCTGACTGCCAGTGATCTCCACAGGCATCTGCTGGCCGCAGAGAAACAGTGAATTCAGAAATCTCACTGTTTTGTAGACCCTCGGGGCAGTTACGGCCCTTTCTCCCAGCCCTGAT